AGCGTAGGCACTGGCGTTTGGACTGGAACTAGAGGCGAGTCAGTCATGATGTTCATACCAAATAGAGAGTACGTACTTGGATGTGGCTTGTAAACCTGCTTCTCTTCTACAACCAAAGTGCGGTTGTTGTTGCCACCTCTTCTAACCTGTGCCAACTCCCATGCTTGGGTCTCCTCATCATCCTCTTCACTACGCCAAGTCAGTATGAGTACTAAAAATAAGCAAACATACTCACACATCCTCAATCATCTCAATCATTCCCGCTTTCCTCTGACGCTCTGCTTCCTTTCTCCCCTTCTTTCCCAACGCAATCCGTTCCTGTGCGCCAGTATACTCCGCATCGTCGTCATCGCCTTCTCCCAAGTCGTCTTCCTCCCGCATAAGCCGACTTTCAGGATGAGGCCCTTGGTCCACCTCCATATCATCACGCCGCGTCACAGACAACGAAATGAAATCGTCCGAAGGTGCTGTGTTCCCAGTGACACGCATGCGCTCGCGTTTCTTTTTCGCTTCGAGTACTGCAGAAGACATGGGTATTTCAGTCGGACGTCCTGCGAAAAAAGTAAGTACAAGACGAGACGTAGACGACGCCAACGTACTATCAAAGACATCGCCTGCGTCGAGTTCATTATCGACAACCATAGCACCATCGGCTTCTTCAATGTCCAACGTCATTTCCACATCTTGTGTGGCGGGCGTTGGCGCCGATAAAGTGGCCGCCTTGAGCTCGTCCAGGTACGCCTTGTCATACACAGGGCCAGAGCTTGTCCTCGAGATACTAGCCTGCTCAAGCGAATCTGGCATCCGAAGACTGGAAGAAAGTCAGATGCCAGCACACGAGTAGCATGTTCGCGACGTACGCAGCGGGGTTTGCCAGCTTGCTCTTCCTCCCAGACTCCTGCCTCTTGGGAGTCCCCTCCGACCCATCCTACCTCGCACCAGATCAAAGTCAATCAGAACTTTTTCTACGAGAATCACGATCGCTCACCTCCTCATCCTGCCCAAAACTCAACTTTGCACGCGCCTTTTGTTTGCTCTTGAACTTGGTCATGAGGCTCATGGCCCCAGGACTTGATTCTTCTTTGTTTGCACCATTATCTGGCCCAGGGGAAGGTGGACGAGCGCGGGTTGGGCGTGATTTGGTACGTTTGAAGATTGGAGCAGGAGCGTCAGACATGGACGTTGGCAGTGGAGTATGACAAGCGCTGAGGTGGCTGTACTATGTCACGTGCTCAAACCTTTTTTAAATACATCTTTGTTGTGCTACACGAACGCTCGGTCGAACCGCACATGGAAACAGAGACAACAGGGAAAATGAAGAGGGTGATAAGGGAATTAACAGCGTAAAGAAGAGGCTTGCTCACGTACTTGAACCAAACTGGAGACCTCGTTTCGGCCTCACCTATTACCGGAGTTTTAGCCACAGAGCTCCCATAAAAATTAACAAGCATAGATCGAGTTTGAGACAGCTTGCCATGGTGGGAGCAGCTCTGAGCTCAAGATCACAGAGGATAAACTGCCGTTATGAAGTCGTTGTAGACTCAATCTGGATATATGCATTTATGTGCAGCGAAGCAGACAAGATATGGTGATTGCTCAAACAGGACCAAGCTCAAACGTACACACAGGGACGATGGCTGGTCTCTTGGGCATGTTTTGTCTACTATTAGCTATTATATATCACGAGGACCAGCCGTCATTAGATGTTGCTATTGTAGGCTCAACTGACTTGAGTAGCTTGCCCACTGACTAGTGCCTATACCGAAACAGAAATCTGTAGGTATCCACTTTGAGGATCTGTATGCAGATACTACTCTCAACTTAGACGAAACAGAATTTGAGACGTGTTTAGCAGAAATAGCCCATATGACGAGCATAAAGTACATTGCGGAGCTTATCAAACGTCGAACTGGATAGGACATGTACGGACCCACATTGCGGACGTTACGCTGCCTGCCTATTTCGATTCGTTCGAGTCTCTCCGTGTTCCATTCTTGAAAGTACGAGAAAAATTCCATGAGCTGCCGTGCAAACATAGCCAGCGTAGTTGTTTGAATGTAAGTCCACTTACAGCATGCAACACAATCACTCGCGTTGGACTAAGTCTGAACACCGTTAGCACCGCCGCGCCGCATGTACCGTACACATAAATACATAATAAGTATCGTTAAAAAGCACCGCATCTCGGCTATAGAACGAATATAGCTACGGACATGTAGCTTCAAAATTGACAGAGCTACAGTCTGTACAAAGTCATGGGTGCACGTGAGTGATTTTGTTGCGGCAATGCAGATTGCCCATATCTACCGATGTCTGCCCCGGTACTTTGCCTATGGAAGAATTAGGATTTTTGTACTAAGATAGATACATATAGTAGTCTAAGGGTCAGCTACTGTATATAGGATAAACAGAGCACTCTTGGACTTCTAAGCAAGGATATGTGTGTTTAGAGCAGCTGGGGGGATGTTTGGACCCCAGTGGTATAGAACACAGCTCTGTGGTGGTTGTAGGCTATCTAGAGGGGCTAAATAGGAAGCTATGGGCTATATAAGCTAGTGTATGCTGTTTGAAAGCTGAGCTGTGCCTGTTTATTCTAATTCTGGGAAGGCTATATGCGCATACAGGGAGGTTTGGGAGCATATAATTGACTGTTACAGCTGATACAATGAAAATTGCAAGACAAAACATGTCTATTAGCATGTAGTGACTGCTGAGCAGTGTGCTTATATAGTTCTCAGAGAGGATTTGTTCACTCTATGCCCTGTAGCTCGTTAGTTTTCTCAGAGTTCATAGAGTCACCGCCAAACGATAATATCCTCCCCTCACAGTAATCTAAGCGTGTTATCTAGTTGGTATGGGCTAGTAGCTGTGCGAGAGGTAAGATGTAGATACGTTAAGCTGTCAAAATACTCGGGTCATATCCGGGACTTGCTAGTAACTCCCGCTTAGCTCAGTGGTAGAGCGCGTCACTAGTAAATTCGCGCGTCTTGAACGCTTACGTAATCAAAATGACGAGGCCAGTCGTTCAAATCGGCTAGCGGGAACTTTTTTGGCGATTTTTTTGAGCTACTTTAGCCCCAGATACACGTCCTGGACGTCGAGAACGGAGGTAGAGAAGTAGGGCAATATTTTATGAGTTGTTACGAGTCAATCTGCCCATGTTCGATCCATAGCTCTATGAATATAAGCTATTAGTAGCAGGAGAGGCCACTGGTATTTATTTTCGAATTTTCTGACCGACGCAAAAGGTGTTTCAGCCATGGGTATATGCGTTGTACGCCACCCTGGTGGGATTAAGCGCCAGGCGCTTGGTGGCGCCTACCTGTCCCAAACGTACAAACCAAGAGTTATGGTGCTCAGTTGATGTAATAGATGCTATTGTAATCACTTAGAAGACTGAGCGGAAGGTTAAAATAGTCATCGAGCTATGTGCTGCTTCCGACTCAGCCTTATAATACCATATGTTCACGTATTGAATACTCAGTTTTCTATCTTTTGTACGATGATACATAAGACGTTTTGTGCTTTTTTTATGTACCCGCTGTATCATTCTAGTGTTGTGCAACACATGTTTTATACCGTGTAAGCTATTCTCATTGATAGCAGCTGTAAGCTAGTAGTGCAGTCAAGCATTACTGCCTATCACACTGTTTGCGCAGTAGTATCAACGCCAACGGCCATTCCGCAGTAAACCCTTGCTTCCAGCCTTCTACATCGGTCCCTTTGAGATTCTCTCCTTGCTCCCTCACGTTCTTCACAAAGCGATCAACAACATCTCTCCCCTCCTTGTCCTTGTCGTTTGGATGGTTGTCGAGGTAGTTATGCAAAGACGACCACGTCCTTAAATATTGGTGAAATGCATCCCAGCTCAAGTATTTGGTGAGTATAACCGGATGTTTCTCGCCCTGCATGTTGGGCTCGTGTGTTCCTACAAAATAGACCCGACGAATCGAAGCAGGACCCCAAGGTGACGTAGTCGGAACCGGCACTTTCTTGAGATAGCCCTCGAGAATGGATCGACCTGTGCGCTCTCAAGCTTCTCAAGCACGCATATGATCGACTATTTCTCACCTGGCTGTTCCCAGTACGGCCCCAAACTATCCTTGTTATGAGAATAGCTCGAAAGCAAATGATCCAATGATGGCCGCCCTCCAAACCTCAGCTCGTTGTAGTTCCAAATCGCAACTGTTCCGCCGGGTTTGAGTACCCGCGCAAGCTCTGGAAATAGCTTGCTATAATCAAACCAATGGGCTGCTTGGGCTACACTACCTTGTCACGTAAACCATCTTAGGACAAGAGCGATACGCACCGGCAATAGCCATATCGACCGACTCGTCTCCCAAAAACGACAACTTTTCCGCCGGAGAAACCTCAAACGTCGGTTTGTTCGCTACATTTGTCTGTTCAACAGCCAACCGAGCATTCTCCACCATTCCAGGCGACGGGTCACACCCAACGGCATGTTTGAAACGTTCGGCGACCGCGACCGTCGCTTGGCCTAGTTACACGTCAGTAGATCATCATTGGACGAGATAGACAACCTAGCCTGTCCCACACCCCAAGTCTACCACCTTGTCCCACCCCGCACGCCCAGACTGTGCATGATAGCCGTA